TTATTTTATTTTATTTTATTTTATTTTATTTTATTATTTTATTTTATTTTATTTTAATTGTTGTTCAAGTACAGTTTTCTCTCTTTTACTCCCATCCCAGCCCACCCACCCATCCCTCCTCACCCTGAAGTGCCTTTCTTTAGACCCATTCACAAGTGGCAGTCTTGAGAAGTGAGCCAAATGTATGACAAGGGCTTTTTCTTCAGCCCCTTCCTACCTTCTGGTGTCCTAGCTCCACCCTCAGCAGAATCTGCCTTTCTAACACCATGCACCAAAACTCCCTGGACCCTTATTTCTTTGCTTCTTCCTCTCTTCCTCTTGTCAGAGGTAGGAAATGGAAAACTAATCCAGTAACACTAATTGCTACCAACTTAATCATGACTGAGAGCATTTTGCATTTTACCCTCATACCCCACAAGACATGCTATGGAACCTGGCTGCTTAAGGAAGATATCGTGAGGTAAAAAGTGGTCTAAATTCTATTTTGTAAGTTATCCCATTCTGCCTTCCCATAGAACTCAGGCTAGCAGAGAGAGGTTGTCTGAAGAAAAACATTAACTGGAGACATTGTTGATTTTGGACCACGGTGGCCTGGGTCAGCTGGTAGAGGGATTAGGAGCAACATAGGCTGAGACTGGCTTTCCATAGAAACCTTAAGACAATCCAGGCAGGGGTGCAAGAGGACACTACTCTTATCTGGCAGAAGATAAAAGCCCAGAGATGAGCCAGAGAAGGGTGGACCTGGAGAAGACAGGACTTAAAACGGCTCCTACAGGGAAGGGTAGGATTTGGAAAAGGAGATGACAAATGGCCATGGCTTCTACACAAGATGAAAAGAAACTCACATTCACAAACTAGAAGCTACAAGTCCAGAAATTTACAACTCTGCCCTCATCTCGCTCCCTATTCCCCACCCGTGGCTGTAGAGAGGCATGCTGGGGGTCAAGCATCAGCCAATGTCTGACAACAGCTGACTCTGACTGATGCTGATGGGGCTGTTTTCCTTCCTTCACTGGGAAAGCTGGAGTCCACTTAGGAATGTGTTACTTAGGAATGTGTTAACACTAAGTCACAAACCCTGATCTTGTGGGTAAGATGAGCCATGCCTTATTCTGGTTAAAGAGAGCCATCCCATTCACAGGGAAATGGAACCACCGTCTTAGCTTGACAGTAAATAATTGCCCCACTCTTCTAAAGACCTAGGAGCATTGAACTCCTAATCAAATTTTAAAGGTCCATAATCTACCAGATAACAACAACCAAACCTAGGGTACAGTTTACCTCCTTTCCCCCCCTTTTTTAATATTATAAAAATATTTTTAATATAGAAAATTTCATGTAATCTCTACCCAGAATCATTCTTAATTATCACGTTTGCTTCAAGTCTTTATTTTATTTTATATTTTTTAAGTCTGACTTTTTAAAAAGATTTTATTTGTTCATTTTTAGAGAGAGGTGAAGGGAGGGACAAAGAGAGGGAGAGAAACATCAGTTCGTGAAAGATGCATCATTCAGTTGCCTCTCGCATACCCCCCAGTTGGGGACCTGGCCTGCAACACAGGCATGTGCCCTGACTGGGATTTGAACCAGCTACTTTTCGGTTGGCAGGCCTATGCTCAATCCACTGAGCAACACCAGCCAGGGCCAAGTCTCTATTTTAAAAAGTTACAAATAAAGTTGTTCTTTTTACCCCACAACTCCAATTCCCACAATTCTTCCATTTCTTTGTCTTTTCCTTTCTAGTTTTTCTTTCTTTCTCTCCTCTCTCCTTTTCTGCCTTTTTTAATTTTCTTCATATAAATTCTAAAATGTAGTGAGCTTATATATTTTTTTAAAAAAGAAGACTAATTTACATTGATATTTACTTATTTAAGGCTCTTGATTACTTTTGGGGTGCATATCTGGTCCTCAGTTGAAACAGGCTGCTATCCCCAAGATAAAAGTTGTGATTATTAAGTTACATGGTACTTTTTCTTATATGATTTTTAAATTGTCTCTGAAGGCATGTGAAGGTAGTTTAATTGTGAAGACAGTTTAAGCAACTTGCAGTATATGGATGAATTTATGGCTTCTCAAGGTGACAACTTTGAGGAAAAACACTCAACTAGCTCTCTCAATTCTGGTTGTGTCAGCTAAAATCATTTTTTAATTGTGAAATTCTATGATTTAGGCCACACATTATTATCCTTACCAGACTTGGCTACAAATCACTCTCTACTTTCAGAAATTAGATTTATTCCCATCAAAAGGAATACTCAAAAAGATGCCTTACAGCCTCTCTAAAGAGGCTGCTGCTCATTTGGAATTATAGCAGGTCAGAGTTAGAAGAGAACTTAAACATCTAATTCAAATCCTTTCTCATGTAAGTGAAGAAAAAGATGCACATAGAAAGCATCTTGCCAGGAGTTACACAATGAATTACTTGCAGGGCTGGGTCTAGAACCTGGTTCGTTCATTGGACCCTGCTCCACTGAGATGTCTGATGCCTGGGGCCCTGGTTAGAAAGCTGCAAATGATGCCTATGAGCAGTCCCATTATTACACAACCTACTGCTGACCCTTACTAAGTGTAATTTAATGTTTCCAACTTCTTCATAGCCACCATGCCACGTCATCAGCATCAACTTTCTCAACCTTGAAACCAGAGCTGGCTTCATGGGTGTGCAGCTTGTGCCATTGTGCAGGCTCCACATTTCGAAGGCCTCACATTTAGTTTAATGCTCTCCTGTAGCCTTCTTGAAATTCTTAATATTTCAACAAGTGGTCTCATATTTTTCTTTTGCATGGAGCCTCCCTGCAAATTAGGTAGTCTGCATGTAACTTACATCCCAGGCAACAGGAACAAGAAGAAAATTGGTCTCCCTGTTTTATTGGGAGAGAGGTAATGAAATGCCTATAATTATTACTGGTGAGAGGATAGGGAATTTGGTACCTATAACCCCTGACTCAGGCCACCCACTACTTCCCATTACCCCAGGCTGCTGCCCTGAGTTGGATGTGTAGGACCTAAAGATCTTTCCAGTATGAGGTTTGGCTTCTTAAGAAAAGGTCTAGCTAACATAACTGATTAAAATAGGATTGATGGAAATCTCAGTTGTTGGCCTTGGCAATGCTCATCTGGCTACCACTGGCCTGATGGCTATAAAAGGAAGCCACCCTCTAGGGCAGGAAATTCAAGGAGACTGCCAACAGGGAAGGTGACAGAGGATGGAGAAGAAAGGCACCCCTGTCTGCTACACATAACCATGTGAGAGAGGGAGGACCCAGCAAGAGCAGCACAGAGGTGAGTGTGGGAGTACTCCAGGAGCTGCAGGCAAAGTCGGAAGGAGGCTAAGGAAATCAGAGAGGTCCTGGCTTGAGAATAACTCACCATATTATCCAAGGCACTGTACTGTTTAACCACCCTCTTTCTCCTGCCTACCAAAGGCATTTATTTCTGTTGTACTTCAGCTCTAGCACTATTCTCCTCCCTTTTTTGTTAGTTGTCTTCCTTGCAGGACCAAAAGTCATTTAAAGACAGGGACTCTGTCATTCATCTGTACTGAGCACACAGTAAATTGATTCCATTGAGAGAAACATTAACTGAGGCCTTATTTTGTGCTTCGCATGATGCTAGGCACTGGCACCAGGAGGTGGAGGGGTAAGGATGGGCATGGAGATGAATAAGGCACAGGCTCTTCCCTTTAGTCTAAAAGAGACAAGCAAATGAACAAATCATCACAGTATAGTGTGTTTAGGGAGGAAGAATAATTAAGTTCCCTGCAGTGGGGGATCATGGAAGGCTTCCCATGGCATTCAAAAAATATTTGTTGCTTGATTGCCTATTCCAGGACAAAACTAAATAGATAAAATGTATAACCACCCTCATGCTACCCCAGAAATTACTGTCACAGATAAGCCTGAGTGAACATTAAGGAATGGGCCAGTAGCCCACTGCAACCTCCTAAGCTCAGACCAACTACACTTATGGATGCGTATCACCAGCTGCCCAAGTGGGTGAAAGACGTGTCGAACAGTGGGATCCTTTTGTAGCCCTTGAACATCTGGTGGGGGAAATCTAGGCAACTATGAATAAGAGGTATTTCTCCTCTGGCCCTGACCTCAGTATTTGATACAACTGGTTTGGCAGAGAAACTGAACCGCAACGAAAATTGTGTTACCTCTCCCAGGATTTGGTGTATCAGAAACACAATGGCTGAAGAACCAATAGAATAACAGGCTTTGAGAGTGTTCCAGGGCAGTTAAGGGGCCCCAGGTAAAAAGAAGATACACTTGGAGAAAGTCCTATGTTTTAGTGACAAAGCAATAGGTGCTGAGAGCAAACTTTACCTTGAATTTGAGGTACAAAGAAGAAGGAAGTTACCGCACATTCCCTTCCCTCACTGTCACTAATCAAATATATCTCTCTATTTAGCTTCTTTAAATACTTTGATGATATGTCAAGTGGCATCCAATATTTTATTTGTATCATACTTCATTGTTTTTTATTACAAAGTAAATACACGCTTGTAAAAAAATTCAGATACAGAAGTACATGAAGAAATGCATGTCTCTACCTCAGTCACGTCCTCAATTTCACTCCTGAGAAGTAATCATTATTAAAATTTTAATGTGTGTCCTTCCAGGATTTTTTTTGCATATGTAAGCATATACACATTTGAGGGAGATTTGATATTTTTCACAAATGGGACCACATTGTTTATAGTCTTCAGTTTACTTCAATGTTATATTTCTTAAATATATATTTTTAATTTTATAGATTTTGTCTAATCTTCATTGTATTTTTTCCGATTACCATTTAGTCCTCTTACATTCTTCTCCCTGCATTAAATATATTCTAAATCAGCACTAGTATGGAATGGTGTGCCCCTTCCATATAAACCCGCTTCCCCACCCCTAGAACTGAATTTGCCTGAACAGTCTCTCCTCTCCTGTGCCTGTGATTCTGAGTGAGCCCCACTCAGGTTGCAGGAACATGATATATGAAGAGAGGGTCTCCATTTTAGCTCCTAGAAGCTGAGTGGTTCTAAGCTTATAGATCCTTTCCTGCCTCACTCAGGCCTAGCCTCCTGAGATGGATGTCACCCACCTGCTCCTGGCCATTCTGCTGGTCTGCCTATGTTTCCTCACTGCTTGTAGCCACCTGGCACCTGAGGAAAAGCCCAGAGATGACAGAAGCCTGAAGAGCAACTCCTCCGTGAACCTGCGGGATTCCCCCTCAGTCTCTATCATGGGTAAGTCACCTGGACTGGGGCCCAGCTTCTGGGTTCTAGCCCATGAGAAGGGGCTTCAAGATGTCAGATATTATCCCCAGTCTGATACCAGCATCCATTGCCATAGGTCAGGTCTCCTTCTTGTTTGTTCCATGAAATAATCCTGGAGTATTAAAGCATCTCTTGACTCATTTGTTTTGCAAAAGCCCTGCATGCCACCCATCTAAAATTCAGCTTAGCACATTAGAGGGTCTGAGAAAGCCTGAAGTTAAGACACTTGATGAACTTGGTGTAACTTAGCATTTCTGCAACTTACTGAATCATAGTACTCCTATCAATGGTAACAAACTTTAGGAAATCCTGTAGAATATAACCAAGTGGGATGAACCAGTCCTGTCATCCAGGGTTGAGAATTACTGCTCAGGGAATATATCAGGGCCATTAGAGCTGGCACTGGAGAGCTTCTGTTTTGACTTCCTCTGGCACTAACAATAACCATACTGCTTGTGTGCTAGGCACTGTGAGGTGAGTACTATTTTTACTCCTATTTGACAGTTGAGGAAGTTGAAGTTAAGTAACTAAGATGAGGTCACACAGGTGATTAACTCTAGAACCTAAAATCAAAACTAATACCTCCTACTGCCTTGCCGCACACTAGGAAAAGAGGATATTCTAGATATATCAGTGAAGGAAAGGAAGGGAAAGGGTTCGGGCACATCAACACTGATTGATCCCCTTTGATGTGCTAGACTTTCCATTTCACAAATATCTGTATTTATGCTCAAGACAACCCTACAGGGTAGGTATTATAGTAGCCTATCTGCAGATGGGAAAACAGAGTCTTAAGAAGGTTAAGTAGATTGGCTAAGGCTATGCAGGTATTTTATGTCAGAGTATGGATTTAAATCAGCTCTGCCTGGCTCCAAAGGTCTGAGAAATGGAAAATTAGATTACGTGAAACACAGGACCATCCATGTATAAGACACTGAGTTCATATTCCAGGGCCTTCTGGAATTTCCCCTTTGCCTTCCCTCAGAGGACACTTTGCTCCCAGTCCCAGGCTCCAGGTCAGCAGCCAGGATAACAAGAACCTGATGGCATAAGTACCAATATGTGATTTGTCCAGCCAACATCCCAGCTTCTCCCCCACCCTGGGACTTCCTAGAGCCCCCTCATCTCCTCCTACTTCACTGCAGCTCGGGGGCCCCCAGAAACAACTGTCTTTGCTCTTTCTGTCTCTCCTTGAAGCACTAAACGAGAAATCCAAAAAGACCACTATAAGAGAGGCGGAAAAGAAGAGATCTTCCGAGGCGGGCCTAGGAGTTCTCACTGTGGAGGTGGGACTGGACTTAAAAGGGGAGAACTCCCACGCTTTGACTAAGAAGTAAATGATTTTCTAGGCCTACGTGTACAAAACAAGCTGACAGCTACCTAAAGACTTCCTGGCCCTGGCCGGTATGGCTCAGTTGGTTGGAACATAGTCCTGTAACTGAAAGATTGTGTGTTCAATTCCCAGTCAGGCACATACCTAGGTTGTGGGTTCAATCCCTGATCCAGGTGCATGTGGGAGGCAACCAATCAGGGCTTCTCTCTCTCATCAGTGTTTCTTTTTCTCCCTTTCCCCTCACTCTCTGAAAGCAATGAAAAAATGTCCTCCGGTAAGGATAAAAAAATTAAGTAAATAAATAAAGGTTTCCTGGCCTTGAGTCTTGAACCAGACCCTCACAGAAGCCCAAGGAACTTAAGTTTGCTGAGTGAAATAGTTTACATGCTGGAAAGCATCTTCCTATACTAGCTAACCCTACAACTGTTGCCGTGTTTGTGATTCATCTATTTATTAAGTATACTTTTTAAAATTAAAACTTAAAAAATATGTACCTGTGATAGAAAACCAGTGTCACTTGTCATAAGTAGAAGGTAACCATAAGTTAAATGAAAACAAAACATTGTTAGTGGATTCTAGCCGAATAGTGTTTCCTGACAAAGGCTCTAGATCTGAGGCTTGCTCTCTGTGTTAAAAGGAAGATTGGGGAGGCATTAAGGACATATTGGCACCAAACTGAGCCTTTCAATTTAGATGCAATTGAAAAAAAAATCAATCCTTTCTCACTGGGATTCAGCATTCTATAATATTCATGCTTCATTTAAAATCTTATGACTATGGTACACATGCCCATACTTTGGGAAATATTGGAGTAAGGCATTGTTGAAATACACTCATTATTCCTGTCTTAGTGCGCCTCGGTTTTATCAGATCAGCTGTAACCACAGCAGGGAGTTCTAGTCTAGGAATTAGGAGATAGGACCTGGCACTGTCTGTCTGGTCTGGAGAATGTCTTTGCTCCTCTCTGGGCCTTCTGTAAAGTGTACAAGCAGATCAGATGACTGACAAATAAAAGTATATAACTGAAAAATACATTTATGTGCTAGATACTGGGAATATAGATGTGAATAAGGGAGATAATATCCCTGCCCTCATGGAGTTTACATTCTTGTGGGGAAAACAGAAAGACAGCAAGTAAACCAATACATAGGTTATTAAATTTAGAATACAATAAACACTGAAGGAATTAAAGCATGGTAATGAGACAGTGAAGGGAAGAGTAGTCAGGGAGGGCCTCTCCAAGGAAGCAGCAATTAAACATAAGACTGAAAGTTTCAGTAATCTTGAACAGCAACACCCAATAGAAATATAATGGAGCAGCAGGCAGAACGCAGGGGCCTGGCGGGCCCTGGACAGCAGAGGTGGAGTGGGTGGACTCCAGATTTATTGTAAAGGCAGAACAGAGAGAGACTGCACATACACAGGAAGGGAGAAATCAGAGATGGTACTTAAAAACTGTGGAGCTAAATGGTGCCCCCTAGGGAGCGAAGAAGGCCAGGCCGGGCCAGGTCAGTTTTGATGAGGATGGAGGAGGGACCTGATTTCGGGGGTAGGCAGGAATAGAGCAGGTAGCGGGCAGTGGGTGGGGATGTCTGGTCCAGGGCCTCCTGAGCCCGAAGAGTTCCCAGGCAGAGCTGAGGACTGGTGGGACAGGAGTGGGCGACTGGCAACCCAGGCATTTCCCTGCAGAAAAAGGCTTCAGTGAAGAAGGTGGCGCGGCCCCGGGACCCACTGACGATTCCAGTGTAGTCACCCGTGACAGCTGCAGGCAGCTGGCGCCCACCTACTCTAACCCATGCACCTCCTGCAAGTGTCGCTTCTTCTGCAGCTCCAGTTCCAGCCACAAGCTCAACCGCAACTGCTTAGAGCGTAGCCTCCCCGCCCCCTGAGGGGCGCAGCTTTCAGTTGGCAGCTCGCCAGCGACCCTGGGGACCCTGAGAGATTGGCTACGTCTAGGATGTGTGGCTTTTTAGGATTGGATGAAGGCGTGGCTACTAAGGTCCGGGCATAGCTTTTAGAAGGAGGGAGTTAAAGGAGAAATGGCATGGGCCAGACTAAAATCCAGATAATATTATATATGCAGGATGATTGAAAGTGTGTGGCTGTTTCTTTAAAGGAACCGAAAGCCCCTTTTCCCTTCGCTGAGCCCACATCAGAAGTCTGACTGCTTCTGCAAACACTGTCTCTGGGACCTGGGGAAAATCCGATTACTCCAACCCTAAATCTGTGCTGTGTTTAAGCATTTCTTCCCATCCGACAGCTGGAGACAATGCTGCCCCCTACCTTTATACTGGGGAACACTGGAGTTGCCTTCAAATGCAGGGAGTGCAGGCTTCTAGAAAGAAAGGAAGCATTAAGGAGCTACCATTCAGTCTTTCCACCTTTCTAAGGAGCTCCCCCTACCTTCTCAAGACAAACCAGAAAGGCTACAATTTCATACACAATCTCACTGGGCTGTCTGTCTGTCCTGGGGGGATCTGCAGACAAAAACGGGTGGCTGGTTGTGACTGGGCGATGCCATGGGGCCCTGCAGCCAGAAGGCTCTGCCTTAGGAGGCTCCCAAAGATGCCACTTGTGCCCACACCTCCCTCTCTCCCAGAGGTGCAGGGGCCTGGGAGGAGTTTATTCCACTCCCAAGCTAAACACTGACTATTGGTCACCAATCATTTTTAACCATGGCAGCCTGGAGTTGGGGCTCCCAAGTAAAAAGCAGGGGTTCAGGAATCCTCCCTCACTCATAGCACAGCTCTGCCAGCTAGTAACCTGGCAGTGGGCTTGAATCTGGTACTCTGAAAGTAAAAGAAAACCGCTAAAATGGAAGCCAGAGGCCAGAAGGAGGAGCTCTAACACAGTACTATCACTAGGCAAATAATTGTCAATTACAACAGAAGAATGAACAGGAAAAAATCAATTATAAGCACCAACAGGAAAGGATGTACATCACATCTCCTACAAGAAATCAACTACCCCAGCAACTCAGCCAATGAGAAACCATTATTTCCCTGAAATCTCACTTGTCTCCAGTGGACTTTGGTTCAAAACAACCTCTCCCAACTTCCTCTTTCTCCATAAAATAAAGTTCCTTTCCTTCATTTGTTGGGCTTGTCTCTGTGGTGTTTGTTACAGCATGCTTGTCCTGATTTGCAACTCTGCTCTTCCCAAATAAGTCTATTTTTCCAGGAAAATAACTGACTTCTACAAATTTATTTTGTTTTTAAATTTGTATTTATTGATTTCAGAGAGAGAGAAGAGAGAGAGAAACATCAATCTGTTGACCCAGTTACTTGTGCATTCATTTGTTGAACCTTGAAATGTGTGTGCTGACTGTAAATGGAACCTGCAACTTTGGCAGACCAGGACAATGAGCTAACAAATGGAGCTACCTTGCCAGGTAAAATGACTTTTATTCATTCATTCATTCATTCATTTATTTATTTTACTTTTTTAAAAGATTCTATTTATTTATTTTCTAGAGAGAAGGGAAGGGAGGGAGAAAGAGAGAAAGAGAAACATTAATGTGTGGTTGCCTCTTACACACCCCCTACTGGGGACCTGGCCTGCAACCCAGGCATGGGCCCTGACTGAGAATCGAAAACGGCAACCCTTTGGTTCTTGGGCCAGTGCTCAATCCACTGAGCTACACCAACCAGGGCAATTGACTTTTATTTTTAAGGTAAAAAGTGAGTAGGCAGCAACCTTGGTCCTGAATTATCAGGGTCTGTCACCTAAAATGTCCCAAGCTGTTGCCTGAAATTTCATTTTTAGAGATTCTCTGAGTTTGTGAGGAATTGAGTACATCATATCTTTGGAAGGACCCTAGAAAGGGGACCACCTGAAATATTGTTTTGGGGAGACAGGATGGAGGCGGGAGCAGGGTCTGTAAGGAAGGACCAGCTAAGATCAAGGATCGCATAGAAACTCCCAGTACCTTGAGGCACAAGGGCTGCAAATGACATCATCTGCCTGAACTGCCAGGAGGGGAAAAACTGAGATGCCACCTGTCAGTGCACCCCGGCAGAATCATTTTAAGCAAGAAATAGGAAGTTGCAAACTGGTAAAAAATGATTTTTTAAAAGGCGTGTACAAGAAAGATTCTGAAGGCTGAGATAGAAATATGTGGAGCAGTTGCCTCAACCCTGATAACTATCATGTATCTCTGTTCCTGGAGATGAGGATGGTGAAACTCAGGGGCCAGCACAGCTGAAGCTACCTCCCCTGTCCACTTGTCCACTCACAATCTTCCACCTTTCAAATTCCTTAAAACCCCTCCTTTCCAAGGACCACGAAGACCCAGGTTGTACCTGCAGTGACAAAACCTGTGTGCAATAGGAGGCAAACTTCAGAACCTCGACTGGATAGAGCGGGAGCCACCTGGAGAGAGTACAAGAAAAAAGGTAGGTGTTCTGGAGTAGACTAGCAACGCAATTCTGCACACTGGGCCGGTCTGTTTCACTGGGCTTCCTTTTACTTGTCTATAAAGTGGAAAGTTCCTACTATTTATTGATTGTTCATGCTGTTCTTTTTATAAATCTAAGATAATGATGCTTCTTGTGCCTTAACAAGAAATATGGTGGGGGCCGGGGGAGCTGCCAGTTGCTTGTTTTGTTTTCTATCATTTAGGCAGCATGCCCACAGGACAAGAACCTTTTGTACCCTGTACCACAGCTACTGCTGATAAATGTCATCATTAATGAAAATACTGGAAATATATTGCAGCCACTGCTCCTGTGTTTACCCGACATTACCCACCAACCAAGCACCATTTGGTCCCCGGGGTGAGGCCAGGATGCAAAGCCAAAGAAAGACCTAGTCCACTAATGATAAAACCATTTAGCTGCTGGGTCCAGACGACTAGGTGGAAGACCCAACTATTTATCCATTCAGCCAATGTGTACTGAGCACTTACTGTGTGCCAGGTGCTATGAATACTGTGAACAAGTCCAATATGGATCCTCTTCTTACAGAACTTATGCTCCAGTGGGCCATGACCATTGGCCCTTGTAGACACTAGAACAATTGTTAGGAATGGTTTCCTTTCCTGGAAAAAAAAAGCCAGCCATGGCCAGGTTAGACACTATAGGACCCTCGGCCAATTCCTTCTTCCCCTGTGAAGTTTTTTAAAAAATATATATTTTATTGATTATGCTATTACAGTTGTCCCATTTCCCCTCTTCATTCCCCTCCACCCTGAACGCCGTCTCCCATCCATTCCCCCTCCTTTAGTTCATGTCCATGTGTCTTAAGTTCTTTAGCTTCTACATTTCCCATACTATTCTTGCCCTCCCCCTGTCTATTTTTTACCTACCATCTGTGCTACTTATTTTCTGTACCTTTTCCTTATCTCTCTTCCTCCTATTACCTTGTTGCTAACCCTCCATGTGATCTCTGTTTCTGTGGTTCTGTTCCTGTTCTAGTCGTTTTCTTAGTTTGTTTTTGTTTTAGGTGTAGTTGTTTATAATTGTGAGTTTGCTATCATTTTACTATATAAATTTTTTATCTTACTTTTCTTAGATAAGTCTCTTTAACATTTCATAAAATAAGGGCTTGGTGATGATGAACTCCTTCAACTTGACCTTATCTGAGAAGCACTTTATCTGCCCTTCCATTCTAAATGAAAGCTTTGCTGGATAGAGCAATCTTGGATGTAGGTCCTTGCCTTTCATGACTTGTTGCTCTTCCTCTTCCCCTTCTGGTACCCCTGTAATTCAGATGTTGGAACGTTTAAAGATGTCTTGAAGGTTCCTAAGCCTCTCCTCATTTTTTTGAATTCTTGTTTTTTCCTTCTTTTCTGTTTGGTCGTTTCTTTCTTCCTTTTAGTCCTCCCCATTGATTTGAGTCCCAGTTTTCTTCCCATCACTATTGGTTCCCTGTGCATTTTCCTTCACTTCACTTAGCATAGCCTTCATTTTTTCATCTAATTTGAGACCAAAATCAACCAATTCTGTGAGCATCCTGATTACCAGCATTTTGAACTGTGCATCTGATAGGTTGGCTATCTCTTCATTGCTTAGTTGTATTTGCTTTAGAGCTTTGATCTGTTCTTCCATTTGGGTCATTTTTTGGGGGGGTGGTCTTGTCGTGCCTGTTACATATGAGGGGCGGAGCCTTAGGTGTTCACCAGGGTAGGGCAAACCAGTCGCTGGGTTGTGATGTTGTATGTGGGGGTGGGGTCAGAAAGGGAACAATGGCGCTTGCTCTGCTGTTGGATTTTTCCCTTCTGCTGCTTTCCCCAAGCAAACTGGGCCCTTCTGGTGCTGATTCCCATGTGGGTGGGCTTGTGTACGTTCTAGGACCCTGTGAGTCTCTCCAACCAACTGTCCTGTGAGTCTGGGAGTCTCTCCCTGATCCTCAACCCCCATAGGTGTTTTCAATCCGTGTTTTGAGGCTATATTTCCACATGCTGGGACCCTGGGTTGCATGGTCTGTCTCACTCCCCAGTTTTACCCGGTATATCTGCGCGCGAATGTGGGACCACTGCCCCAACAACTAGGCACTGCGTGCAGTGCCTTGTTTCACAATCACCACCTCGTTGGGTCTGCTGGTTGCCACCCCGGGACCAGGGTCTGCCAGCCACCACCTGCGTACCCAGGGTCTGCCTGCTGCTATTTTGTGCGCTTGGGGTGCCTTGTGCCCCCAGTGCCACTGCTTTTTGTGCCACAACCCCTTGCTGCTTGGCAGCCTGGCTCTGCCCCACCTACCAGTCTGGGTGAACATGTCTATTTTAACTCCTTGGTAGTCCGACTTCCATACAGTTCAATTTTCTATCAGTTCTGGTTGTTATTGTTTCTAAATTGTTGTCCTTATTTTGGTTGTGCGAGGAAGTACAATGTCTACCTCCGCCTCCATCTTGGCTGGAAGTCCCAAGTCAGTGTTTTCTCCCCATGAAGCTTTGATGGCAGAGCCCAGACATCAGGAGTCAGAGTTGGGTTGGGAGCTTAGGAGACATATCATCTTTCACTGTGGGTACCTGGTCAGTGTCACCCATGTGACAGATTAGCAGACCTGAGATCAGAGGTAATAAGGCTGAGACCACACTGGTAGGACACCTCCAAGGAGGAAAGGGGAAAGGGCCTGGATAATAAACCAGAATCCCTGGGGACTGGAAGTTGCGGGACAGGGTGGGAGGCTACATGGGATATCACAGATGGGAACATCTGAAAAGGTATTTTCTGCATCTGGGTGGAGGCAGACAAGAAAAGGAAGTGTGCTAACACACAGGCAGGGGCCCCTGGAGGGAACAGCATGGCTATGATGAGAAATAAGGCATTTAATCTCTCTGGCTCAGATAAACAATGCCTCCCCCCCCTTTCCACAGTGAAGTCATCTTCTCGAACACCACCATGGTGGAGTGGCTGAGGTAGGCACTGTAGGTAGCACTCTCTGGTGCTAGTCTTGCCTTTAGGGAACTCAGGTTACAGTTCCAGAGTTACTGCTCCAAGTGTTGGAGGGTTTGAAACCAGGCCCCCTTCCTCCTAAACTGGGGCCTGTGGGTATAAAAAGGACTTGGATTTGGGGCCGAGAGTTCTACCTAGCACAAAAGCCAATTCACTCTCATGGTGTCTCTCAGAGCCTGTTTCCTGATTTGTAAAACAGGAATTTAAATCCCTACAAGGTTATTATGAAGATAAATAAGCTCCTACTTAGCACAATGCCTGGCACATAATTAAGTGTGCAAGAAATAATAGTGGGCATGGTAGTGAACTTTGACCTCTTGATCACTGGTGTCATGATCAGTTAAGAAGTGTGTCCCATGTCATTTTTTACTAATAATCATTTAACCACCAAAGTTGGTAAATTATTTACAGCAGAGTCATATCATATATACATACAATTTACCATATAATCTAGGGCCAGCCAGTTTGGCCTCTCTGAACCTCTGTCCTCATTAGTAGCAAAGGAGTAATAATACCACCTCATACCCAAAGGCTGAGAATGCAAAAGTGAATAAGCCACAAGTGTGGAATGTTCAATCAAGAAGGCACATTTTGCTCTGACTGGTATGTTTCAGTAGGTTGGGCATCATCCCGCAGACCAAAAAGTTGTGGGTTTGATTCCCAGTCAGGGCACAGGCCTGGATTGACAACCAGGTCCCCAGTTGGGGGGCATGCAAGAGGCAACCAATGGATATTTTTCTCCCTCCCTTTCCCTCTCTGTAAAAATAATAAAATCTTTTTTAAAAAGGGAAAACTCAGGAGTCTGCAGCTCAAGGATTAAAACCAAAGGTCTTCTCTTGATGCTTCAGACCCTTCCTTCCCATCCCCCAGACCACCTTTCTAGTGCTCCATCTCATAACTCCCTAAACCACAGCCAAACAACTCTCCGACTCCCCACCCCCTCAGTCACCCCTGCTTAAGCTGTTCTGCTGCCTGGAATACCCTTGCTTTCAATTCCTTCTGTTAAAGTGTCTTTCAAGATCTATTTCAAGTTCCACCTCTTCCCTGCTGTCATTCTCTTACTGCTCCCAAGACTGAGCAGATAAAGACATACTAGTAGATGTCTAGGCAAAGCTGTTCGGGTGCCTGCCTGCTCCCTCCACCCTGAGATCCCAGCAGGCCGGCATCAGGTCTCAACCATCCCCATCAGGCCTTCCATCCAGCGGATGACCCTTAGAGTAGTTTCCAGTTGCCATTCCCACCTGGACTCTTGTTTTTGCTTTGATTTCGAAGACCAGAACAAGGGTTCAGTAAATGACCATTTAGGCATGTAGGAGGGAGCCCAACTTTCTACCCACTCTTCTGTGATTTCATTCATGCTAAGATCTCTTACAAACTGTGTGATTTTAGGAAAGACACTTAATCTCTCTAAGTCTCCATTCTCATCTATAAAATTAGGATGTTAGTAATAAACTTGTGAGAATAAAGAAAATTAAGTACAAAGTCCCCAGCACCCAGTAGGTGCTCAATAAATAAGAGTTCTGCAAAAGATCAATCCAAAGTGGGTGTGGGGAGAAAAAGAATGTATAAATTGGGACACAAAAACTAAGGTAGAGAAAATAAATGCAAATAGGAGTTATAATAAATATAAAGGATTAAATTCACCTGTTAAATGACAGTCTTAGATTGGGTTAAAAACAGCTGTTTACAAGAGACTAGCCTAAAGAGGTAAGAGTTTTCTTCCCTCTACCCATCCTTCCAGGCCCAAGGGTTTGCCTGCAGCCCTTATAACTCCACACCCCTTATCTTCATCAGCATACAAATACTGCCCCTTGCTCATGGCTGACATTGCTGGCAGTGGATTATCTATAATAAAGGCTCAAACTTCTTTTAGGCACCAACATTTTTATTTAGTTATCTTCCTGCTCAAACATTATAAGCATTATACAAATAAACATTACAAACCAAATTAATCTCTTTTTGATCCAGGGTTGTGATAGGAACCATTACAAAGTAGTGGCAGATCTATGCCTGCTTTTAAGATTCTTTGGCCCCTCGCAACCTCTGGCTGTCACTTCTCTTATCCCTTCTTGGCTATCCCATAACAGTATATTTTATAACCCCTGTAAAATAGGGACTGAAAGTACCAACCTCATTGTTCTGAGGTTTAAGAGAACGCCCAGCACTAAGCCAGATTTTCAGGAGCATTCAAACTCCAACAGTTCCTCCCTGCACACTGATACAACTCTTTCTCATCATGGGCTGCAGAGCCAGTGAACCTGTAAACCAAGAATGTGGGTACAACATCCAAAGGCCAGGTAAGAGGCAGTAAAGTGCACGGGCGTTGTGACCACCACTTCCAACTCCCAGCCTAAGGAAAGACTGAGTGAGCAGTTCCAAAACCCCTGAGCCCTTGGTTCCCATGTATATCACAGTGACCAGGGCTTGAAGAGGGACATCTCAATTCCCCCTGCCACACATGGAACAGTATGAGGGATGTAGCAGAGGCCAAGACTGAGTGACCAGCCCCAAGGAGTCAATGGGGGACATTAACAAACCATTCTCAAAGTTGGTGCCATTTGCTCTTGGGGAGGAGAGGTGGGACCTGGGCAAGGAGAGCAGCTAGAAGGCAGAAAGGGCAGGCCTGATCCTCAGTAGCGGTAGTGATCTGGCTTGAAGGGGCCATCACGGGGCATGCCCAGGTACTGGGCCTGCTTCTCAGTCAGCTTGGTCAGCTTCACGTTCAGCTTGCTCAGATGAGCTTCAGCCACTGCTTCGTCCAGCTGGGGAGAAACACAGGGAGACCTGGTATCAGGACCGTGCTCTGGACCCCTTACCTGCAACCAGCTGCCAATAGAGGTAAGAACTGTTCTGTTGAGGAATATGCCGTGTGTTACACATATTACCTCATCCTGTCCTCAGTCAGCCTCAGCAGATACGTTGGTTTTGACTGTCCTCTTCCTCAAGATGGAGTCATTCTACACCCTCCCCTCCAATTAACCCTGGGGGGACCATCAATTACATTTCCTTTCTCACCTTCCACCAACCCAAGAAGCTAGGACATTTTTCTTTTCTTAAAGAAGATTTATTTAGTTACTTTAGATTTTATTTATATTTTAGGGAGAAGGGACTGGAGGGAGAAAGAGGAGAGAAACATCAATTAGTTGCCTCTTGCACATCCCCATCTGGGGGCTTGGCCTGTAACCCAGGCATATGCCCTCATGGGGAATCGAACCCGCAGCCTTTCAGTTCTCAAGCCAGTGCTCATTCCACTGAGCCACACCAGCCAGGGAAGATTTTATTTATTAATTTTTAGAGAGAAAGGAATGGAAAGAGAAAGACAGGAAGAAAAACATTGATTAGTTGCCTCTTGCATGCCCCCAACTGGGGACCTGGCCTGCAACCCAGGCATGTGCCCTGACTGGGAATCGAAGCAGTTTCCTATTGGTTTGCAAGTCAAAACTCAATCCACTGAGCCACACCACCCAGGGCCAGAGCAGTTTTCATAGCAGGAGGAGACAGAGTCTAATTTCACTGGGATTCCTAAACTGAGAGGGTATGAGTCTCAGCTTGCTAATATTAAGTCTATTTGACAAGTGAAATGAATGTTTAAAGAAAAAGAGTAAGAGACAGAAACACAGAGCTCCAATAAACACTGAAGCCCTAGGCCCACTCTCTGAATCTTGGACTCCTCCTTTATATAGTGTGGGACAAAAGCAGGTTTACAGTCGTGAGTACACGAAACACACTTATTCTTGTATTATTAATTACTGAATTATTTTCCATACAAACAAATGTAAACCTACTTTTGCCCAACCCTGTATAGCCAAGAGAGTTTATCTTCAGATTAAATTAGTTGTGGTTGTTTTAAAATATGCTCTTAACTTCTTTGCCTAGAAATTTGTAATATTCCTTCCTTCAAGAGGTAGAGCCTAATTCTTCACCCCTTGAGTGACTCACTTCTAATGAACAGAATAAAGCAGAAGTAATGGTGTGTGACTTGGAGACTAGGTCCTAAAAAACACTGCAACTACCTTCTTTCCTTTCCTGGACCACTTATTCTGGGGAAAGGCCAGCTGCTATCTCATGAGGACACTTCACCAGTCCTACGGAGATACCCTTGTAGCAAGGAACTAAGATCTCCTGCCAACAGTGAAGTGGTTCTTCCAGCCCCAGTCTGGCCTTCAGACGAATGCAACCTCATGGAAAACCTCAAGTCAGAACCACCCCACCAAAGTGCTCTCAAACTCCTTACCCACACAGACTTAAATAGTAAATGTTTATTGTTTTAAGCCATAAATTTTGGGGTTAAATTGTTGTCTAGCAATAGATAACACACCAGTTTAAACAGGGTTTCTATCTACTGATTGCCACCAAAAGGATCCTGACTACTAAAAAAATTGCCATCCTACTTTTACAAATGTAGAAATCAAGGCTCAGAAAGGTAAAATGACTTGCCCAAGAGCACACTGCTAGTTACCCGCAGAGCTATGATTCCCAAACCCCCAAACTTGTCTTCAGCATCTTATGGCCTCCAAGGCAGCTTTGAAAAGATGGAATAGAAACCAACGAGCACAGAGGCTGAAGTTAGATAAAGCCAATTTCTAAGTCTGACCAGTCCTGAAATGCATAAAAGGGGTCTGAAAAGGGAAAGCATTTACACTTAGAAAAGGGTCAAATGTGTGTGTGTGGGGGGGGGGGGGGGGGATGTCTCATTTTCTAAGTTTCTGGCTTTGGGTGGGGTCTCTATCTCTGATGCCCCAGGTTCTATCCTATGATGATACAACAGCCTTGGACCACAGCCCAGCCCCCAAAACTTTTACATTTCCAAGTGGTTTCACATCCACTGTCTCATTAGACTCTCACAAATACTCCTGAGGAAGGCAGGATTTATTCTTCTTTTTAACAGATGAAGAAACTGGGGAGAGGCCAACAAAAATATGAGCAGAGACCAGGCCCATGTTCATGTTAGTCCTGGAGGCAGAATGAAGGTCTCCAATTCCTGGAGTATGCATCAAATCCTCCTTTATCTTGGCCTGGCCTAGCCCTGAACACACTTCTTCCTTCTCTCTGTACCCACACTCAAAAGGCAGGGTATCATAATGGTGAACAACTTGGACAGACAGTAGAGTGAGCTTCTACTCCTGGTCCAATACTTGACAGCTGTGGGAGCAAGTCAATCTCTGAACCTTAGCTTCCTCATTTGTAGGATGGACCTCTCATGGCCATTATGAAGATCAATCAATGATAGACTCCTTGGTGCAAGTTGATAGCTTAATAAATGATGACTATTCTGTCATTATTAACCAAGGTACCTAATCCCTGGCCCACATATCACAATGTGAGGCATGAACAAAGGGTGGGGTATCTTGTCCCGTACCCATGTCTTGCTTTCGATAAAGGAAGGAAGGATGGGGGCCATGTCCTGGGGTGGGAAATGAGATCTTTGCCTTATTACTTCTAATACTGACCTCATTTCAAAGGCTTGTCCAATTTCTCACCATGTCCACAGCCATCTTTCCTCCAGGTGGGATCAGTTGGAGGTCAAATGAGACTTTTTTAACCCACAGCAAGGCTGGGCACCCGCAGGCTGCACAGAACAGGACAGCCCTTGGGCCCTTATGGGTAAAATATCTGGTCCAGGGGAAGTGTCCAAGGAAAACTAGGGGGAAAGGAGTGGGCTGGCTCTGGGGACAGATGGCTCAGGCCTTGAGAGGACACTGGGCCTCTTCCTATTTCACTTTGCAGGACCAGTCTTTCAAGGGGTGAGAGGAGTAGTAATGGAGATTCCATCACAGCCTCTACCCTAGAGACTAAGAGCTACTCTTACAATTTAGCTGATAGAGAAAGGCCCAGAGAGGCTATGTGGCAAAGCCACATTCACCCATGACACTGGCAGAAAAAAAAAGTCAGGACTAAAACACAGCAATTCTGATCCTTGGGAATGTGCACCTTGTATGGGGTGTTAGAAAGAGGACTGGGTTTGATGTCAGAAGACCTTCTGTCATGGTTACCCTGACCACACACCCAGAGTATGTCAGGTGCCGTGCTCAGTGTGTTAGTGGTATCTTATTCCAAGGCCACAGTCCTACAGCTTGCAAACTGCATATGGCTTACAGACATATCCAAATTGACCCACCTGGATATTTTTTAAAACTGTAATAAGTTGCCTATATTTAAAAATTGAGTATTTCATACAAAGATCTTAGTATCTGGCTTCTCTTGAAATGTCAGGAGCCCTGGTCCAATGGGCCTGGGTTCCAGGTTATTGACGGTTAGTGAACCCCTTCCTGGAGCATGTGCTCTTCTATTTGTCCCCCACCAACCCCAGTTCACTCACTCACCTGCCCAATCCCTGTAGGCCTGTGGGTTTGTGACCCCCAATCTAAGGAAACCCTCGCAATCCTTAAAGGAGGGAGAGGTGAAAATAAGTGTCAAAGAAATTAACTTGCCCCAGTTAAACAGCCTCTAAGTGGTAAGGCTGAGATTCAAACAGGGGTGTGTCTCCCTACCAAGCCCAGGCTCCTCTCACCACCCAGTCCAGCCACTCTGGGAGTCATTCCCCTATCTTAGGCATGAGTTTCCTCCGCTATTAAATGAAAAGAATGATTTCTGCTCTGCAGAATACCCTGTGAGGATCTCTAAGAGGATAGAGAGGTGAGCTGTGGCAAATCCTCTGTGGTGAGCCGGGGTCGGAGGTCAGTACCCACCTTCTTGGGTAGGAAGTGGACCCCAACAGGGTACTTGTCTGGATGGGTCCACAGTTCAATCTGGGCCAGCACCTGGTTGGTGAAGGAGTTGCTCATCACGAAGCTGGGATGCCCCATCGCACAGCCCAGGTTGACCAGCCGGCCCTCGGCCAGCAGGATGATGCGGCGCCCATTCTTTAGCCGGTAGCGATCCACCTGCAGGTGGGTAGAGCAGCACTGAGGGCTGGTAGGGCAGTGCTCCCAGTGTCCACCCCTGTGTCATCCTACTCTCTTGTCCGGCAGGCTTCCCTCCCTGCTTCCAACAGCACCTGTGAAGGGCCTGGACTGCCCTAGAATAACCTCCAGCATAGGCCCTGGCACACTCAGTAACAGACAGTATTTATCAAGCTACAAATCTCACAGGTCTGCTGTGAGAATTTAAAGAGAATTGTAAGGTACTTGACACACAGCTTGGCATATATCAGGTACTCAGTAAGTATTAAGCTCATGTTGTTATTGCCATTATTATTATTATTGCCACGTGCCCTGGGCTAACAGCATACATATAACTATACCTATATGTATGCATATACAGACAACTAGTAACAGCACAATGACTTAAGTACCATTATTATCCCCACTTCGCAAATAAAAAAATAAAAATTTAAAGGGTTAAACTTGTCTGCAGTCACATACTAAGAAGTAGCTGCAATCTGAGCCTGAGGACAGAGCCCATGTTCTCAAACACCATGCTTAGTAAGTTGAATGCAGTGGCGCTAAACCTTGGCTGCACGTCATAATCATCTCAGGACCTTTAAAAAAAAAGGATGCCTTGGCCTCCCAGATTCTGATTTAAGTGACCCTGAAACCAAGCCCTCTTCCCCCCATCCTGCTGCCCAGGTTGCCAGAGCCTCCTCATCTGCCCTCCCTTGGTGGCCAGCCCATAAGCATGACCCCTTCACCCCTCCATCTGCCCTCCCTGCTGGAAGGGCTGGGGCTTCTCACCTGAGGCTTGATGTTCACTTTCTCCACAGCATTCTCATTCAGCCATTTGACATCAATTTCCACATCAAAATGTCCAATGTTACACACAATGGCGTCATCCTTCATCTGCTCAAAGTGTCTATGGGAAGCCCAAACCCATTGGAGACTGTCAGGGATAAAGGGACAAAGAGCAGCCCCAAGCCAACCCCTTCCCTCACTCCCCAGGAACCCCGACCTGGCACCTACCTGCCAAGGACGATGTCAATGCAGCCTGTGGTGGTGACAAAGATGTTGCCCTCCCGACAGGCCTCGTCCATAGTGGTCACTTCATAGCCTGTGCAGAGACAGTGGCCATGGGTCATCCAGGGTGGCCTTGCCCTTCCTCTAGTCCCAATGGCTAACAGCCATCCCTTACCCTATCATACCCTCCATGGCAGCCTGCAGTGCGTTGATGGGGTCAATCTCGGTGATGATGACTCGGGCCCCAAAACCCCTCAGAGCCTGAGCACAACCCTTGCCCACGTCGCCATATCCTGCTACCACTGCCACCTTGCCCGCAATCATCACGTCCGTGGCCCGCTTGATGCCATCCATGAGGGACTCCCGGCAGCCATAGAGGTTGTCAAATTTGCTCTGGAAAAAGAGGGAGCAAGGGGACGATGGGGACAGGCAAGGCCCTGGGGTCTCAGACCCTCTCCTAGCACCTAGGCCTGATGGGCCTTGTGCTGATCATCTATGACTTCTTCCCACCAGCCAATGTCCTCATATGCTTCTCACCCTAATCAGCCCCAAGACCTTGCTAGGCTTTCTCTGATGGTCCTGAAGTCTTCTTCAGGATCAATTACTAGGAGAGACTGCCCAGTAAGAGAATCTGCTTCACTTTAAAGTTCTTAATGCTTAGTTCTTACTGTATAGTTCTTCTCCTCTTTAATATACTAATTACCCTCAGTCTACAATCTCCTTCCTCTCCTTAAATGAACCTTCAAGTCCCTAGCCTGAAGCCTTCCGGGGGGGTCCTTCCTCTGGGGCCTACTCCTGAGCTCACTGAGAGCCAACGATCAGAACTGTCATTGCCCCACTGGCTCACCTTTGTGACGGAGTCATTGACGTTGATGGCAGGAACCTTCAGGATCCCATTAGCCATCATCTTGTATAGGTTGTGGACCCCCGTTGTGGTTTCCTCAGAGATACCTCGGATGCCTGAACACAAGGGGAAGGGGTGAGCCTCAGGCCAGGAAGGGGCTGCCCAAGGGGCTGGCCAGGGGAGAGGGACCTTCTGGAATGAAGCCCCAAGAGCCTATACCTTAACTCACCCAAATCCCTCATCTTTGCCTCCTAAAGCCACTCCTCTTTCTGGGTTCATATCTGTGACTGATACCACAGTCCACACAATCATCCATCGCCAGGACACTCCCAAACTTCCCCACCACTGAACTCTCCACCCCACCGCCACTGCCCTAGTCCCTGCTACCGTCACCACTCGCCTGACCTCCCAGCCACAACCCATCCTCCACACAGCAGGCGTTTTGAACATGTACATTTTCAGAGAAATATTTTCTAAACCCTCCAATTATTTCTCTTTGCTCTCAAGATCAGGCCAAATTCTTTATTTATTTAGCCTCACTCGAGGACAATTTTTCATTGTTTTCAGAGAGGGAGGAACAGGGGGAGAGAGAAACATCAATTGGTTGTCTTCTCATATGTACCCTGACCAGGGATTGAACCTGCAACCTGGGTATGTGCCCTGACTGGAATCGAACCTGCGACCATTTGGTCTACAGGATGATGCTCCCACCAACTGAGTCACACCAGCCAAGGCTCAAGCCAAATGCTTTTAACCTATTAAGTACTCATACATCTGGCCTTCACTAAAGTTCCAGCCACATCCTATAATGCTCCCTTTCACTGAAGGAAAATACTATGCTGGCTTCCTGTTTCCTGAGTCAGTCCTTTCTTGCCTTAGGGCCTTTGCACTCACTGCCTCCTTCACCCCACTTTCCTCCCTGCACTGGTTTTAACAAAGCTGACTCATTCCCAGCCCTGACTTATGCTTCCTCTTGAACCACCATCTCAGCCAGGCCCCCTGCCCCCACCCTGCCATCCGGGTCCCACACCATCAGAAGTCAGGAGGCCAGGCCCCAGCATGCCTGCAGGGACCTGCCATTCTCCTGTCTTTCACAGAATCTGCTGCTTGAGGTGCTGGGAATCCTGCCAGGCCTGCTGCATTCTCATGGGCAAGCGGGCTCCATCTACACTGCCAACACCCAGCCTACCCATCCACCCTACTCACCTGACAAGAGCTGTGGGTACTTGGTGTGGATGAGGTTGGTGAGGTCACCGCCATCGTCCAGAATCATGTTGAGAGGCCCATCCTTGAAGTACAAAGTCTGCTCAATGCACCACAGGTATTCTTCATCTGTTTCACCCTTCCAGGCATATACTAGGGGGTGAGTGGCACATCAGGGTCTGCCTTCCTCACTGGTACCTGCTTCAGGGAAACTACCTGGGCCAATACTACCTCCTCCCTAATTCCCATGCCCAGCCACCTCCAGCCCCTCCAAGGACTCAGCAGTAGTAAGAACACAACTGGGAACCAGAGAGATCTAAATTCAAATCCTGCCTCTGCACTTGCCACCTGCATGACTTTGGGCAAATCACCCCTTCACCTCTCTGAGCCTCAGTTTTCTCATCTGTGAATGGGGAAAACAGTATGAATTAAGTGGGATGGAGGCCAGATATAGGTAACTGGAAATAATTATTTACTTTCCTATCCCCTTCTGTCTGGGCCCCAAGGACTGGAGCATCAACCCACTGACCAGGTTCCAACTCAAAATGCTGGGACCGGGTGCTGCAGAGGCAGGGTGGCAAACTCAGGGGGACCCACAAGGCAAGATCTACAGACTGTTCTGCACCGAAATGACCTGAGGGCTCCACAGTCTCTGTGGTAAGTGGTCTCAGGCAAAGTCTGGACAAAAAATTACTACTAACAGCTACTATGTATGGATCACTTTCTCTGTGCCAGACATTACTGCCAGTTCAGGCTCCTCCCATCACATGGTATGACTAGGACATGTATTTAGGGCTCGCATGAACCTCTTGTGAGCAAAGGCCACCAGCCAAGCAGGGAGGGCTATCCCTCTGCCTAACGGGGACAGATGATAGTCTTCAAAACAAAGCATTTCCCAGAAAAGGGCCATGGAGCCCAACCAAAGGCTGAGAAATGGGAGACATACCTATCCAGCTCTAGTAAGTCTCTGGACGGATCCTCCGGACCCTTTCCTTTCCACCCGAGGCTAGTTAGGACTAATGAATGTCCTACTTAATCACCATCTAACCACTCCCCTCCACAGGCCCAGGAAAACACATGCCAATTTCTCCAGCAGCTTATGAAAGTTATTCCTCCTAGTTTTGGTCATTCCCCAGCCCCTACACCATCAGACCCCAGGCAATGAACCTCAGGGGCTCTTTTTCTGACCAGTAGTCCTCTCCAATTCTTTTGGAAACAGACCCACTTCCTTTTTTATAGGAACTTCCCCTCCTCCACACCAAGTGGTTCCCAACCATGAAATTCTGCCCTTGTTGATCACATGACTTAAGCTGGGACAATAGGCACCTCCCATAGAATTAGATGACAGCACTACAAAACAGCTCTTTCCTATGGGTCATTAGGTTAGGATTATGTGGCCATGACTCCTCCCCTGTGCCACTGTAGTGGCAGGAAGTCTTGACACTGTAGGAGTAAGTGAAGGAAACATGGAGAAGCAAAACCCCTACCCCAGCAGCAAGCAGGACCCACCTGGAATGCCAGCCTTGGCAATGGCAGCTGCTGCATGGTCCTGGGTGGAGAAGATGTTGCAGCTGGACCACTGCACCTAGAAGAGCCAGCAAGACAGACTGTGGTCACAGAAGCACTAGGGTCACTAGACAAGGATAAGGAAAAGCTCTGATGCTAGAGGTGACAGGCTTGTGATGTAGGCCCAGTCAGCTCTGCAAACACAGAGTAGGGGCCCTGGTGAATGAATGGATGCCAAAGCACTGACAAGGCCCAACTTATGCTGTAAAACATTACTCTGGTGCTATGGAGAACAGGCTCACAAGGAAGCAAGGAGACAGGTGAAGAAGCTGTTGTAAGAGGCCAGACTAGAGATGTAACAGCAGTGGAGGTGATAATGGGTGTATTTTGATGGCTAAGCTGACCAGATTTGCTGCAGGATTAGTTGTGGGAGTGAGAAAGAAAGAAGAGTCAATGATGACCCCAGGTTCTTGAAATAAGAAAACCTGGAAGGCTTCATTTCCATTTGCTTATGTGGGAAAGACTGCAGAAAGGGGGTGGGAAGTGGCCTATGAAATCATGAATCTGTTTGGACATGCTGAGGTTGGTAAGTCTATTAGATCTCCTAGTGGATATAACACATTAGCTACTGAATATGAAAGTCTGGAGTTCTGGGGAGAAGTCTAGGCTGGTACATTTTTCTGGGAGTCATCACCATGTAGATAGAATTTAAAACCATAAAATCAGAACACCAAGAGTTTAAATGTTGAAAAGAAAGAGGTCCTAGGACTGAACTCTAATGTAGTCTGTTAGTTGGTTTTTGCTGATACGCCCTGCCCTCTTTAGGAAGGTATCTAGTTCGGAAACTCCTAAAGAGTTTAGAAGAGTTGTCAATCATGCACACATGACCCAGGCTGAACCAATTAGAACACCATACTTCTGGCGACCAGGACTGGGCCAGGGCAGGCACACAACCCTAGGAGGGCCAATGAGAACAAATTCTTTCATGACTCAATTGGACACTGGGCCTGAATTTTTCCCAACAGAGCTCTTCAATCAGGAGGATGTGAATTGACCCTGGCTAGTGTAGCTCAGTGGATTGAGCGCAGGCCTGCAAACTAAGGGATGGAGGTTCGATTCCCAGTCAGGAAACATGCCTGGGTTGCAGGCCAGGTCCCAGCAGGGGATGCACGAGAGGCAACCATACACTGATATTTCTCTCCCTCTCTCCTTCCCATCTAAAGATAAATGAGTAAAATTTTTTTTTAATTTTTAAAAAGAAGGATGTGAATTGAGGGCAGTTAGATGCTATCTTCCCAGTCAGAAAAAGAATTTGCACAGCAATAACCACAAAAAAATTGACAACACTGTGACAAGGCTGGACGCCCCAGCTGGGCCTGAGGGGGCACCACACTGGATTTCCCACTTTGCATAGAACAGCTGCATGCCTCACCTCAGCACCCAGGGCGATGAGGGTCTCAATGAGGACAGCTGTCTCAACAGTCATGTGCAGGCAGCCAGCGATGCGGGCGCCCTTCAGTGGCTTGGAAGCCGAGTACATCTCCCGCATGCGCATCAGGCCCGGCATCTCGTTCTCCGCGATGTCCAGGGCCTTGCGTCCCCAAGAGGCCAGGCTGATGTCAGCTGCAGAGGCAAGATGGACGGCAGTTCCATGAGCAGCTCACCCCATCAACCAGGCTGAGCAATCTAGTCACTGACTCACTCATTCAACAAGGATTTGTGGAGCTGAGGCAGTCAAAATAGAAAGACATGATCGATCCCTAGCTAACCTCAGCTCAGTCTTCTGGGAGAACACATTTGATCAAAGAATCACACAGGTACATGTAAATAACACAGGTAAGTACCCCCTTGAAAAAAGCTATCAGCATACACATACATACACACACACACTTCCCACTACCCCTTCTGCTGCCACCTACCAACCTCCTCATTCCCTAACAACTTTAGTTCTAGCTGTCCATCCATCTTCCACATTATCACTCTTGCTGACTTCAACACTTACAAGTGACATTACTTAATACCCTGGATTCAGCACAGTTCTTTGATCTCCTTAAAGGTATGAAAATGCTTCTGCCCCACTCCTGATTGTTTCCACATGGAGAGAACTCATCCGTGTAAGTGACACTCTTGGCTCCTCTCTGTCCCAAGGGAGGTGGAGTGACTTGTCTGACTAGTAAACTTGGGAGGAATAAATTGGGCATGATCAGTTCATCTCTCCCTTCTTTAGCAAATAAGCACCAGCCACCGTGCCTGCAGGAAGCATGTTCTTCCACAGAGACCTACCCAGGCCCACCTCACCTGAATGGATGTGTAACTGAATTTTGGGGTTCAATTAGCAGAATCATTAGACTTTGACACAAATCTACATCCTCTGGCTCCAATGTTATTAGTAATGAAGTTTTATTTTGGCTTGTATTTGCTACCCTAATGTCTCAAATTTGTCCAACTTCTCAGGCAGGAAAAGAGGATACTACTATGAGCTTTATAAAATTTACACTATGTCGCCTCCACCCTTCTGCGCAAGTGAAAAACAAACCTCCAATGGTTTCCCCTAACCCATGAATAAAATCCCAACTTCTCACTTGGCCTCAAGGCCCTACCCACAGGCCCTACCCACATGACTGCCGAGCTTGTCCACCCACCTCCCCACTTTCTTTTCCCCCCTCCTTGCTGTTTAGCCACAAGGATCTGCTTACTGGTGGCCTTCGGACAAGCTAAGCTCATTCCCACCTCAGGGCTTTAACTCAAGCAGTTTTCTTAGCCTGGATGGCTCTTCCCCAAGCACCTACTACAGACTTGGCACATAGTAGGTGCTCAGAAAAACCTGGAAATAGGAAAGAACTTGGTATATTCCTGCTGGAGGAACAGAGTGAACCAGGGTGACTCTAGTAGAGGGAGCAGGGTAAGTCGGGATTTTATTCCCAGTAACGTGAGAAGACTACAGAATTTTAAAGGGAAGTACTGTACAATATCATGACTAGTTTGTCTTTTCAAAAGACCCTTTTGTCTGCTGCATGTATCTATGGAGCAAGAGACCCAGGAAGACCTGTGAGGAGGTTGACCAGAAACTGGGGTGGTGGCTGTGGAGACAGAAGTGGACAGGACTCCTTGCTTATAAAATGGGGACAATAATACTACATGTGTACAAGTCTGTCCCAACCTCATCCTTGAGTCACCTTTGTATGTCCAGTGCCCAGCAGGGCCTGGCACAGAAGCAGTCATCAAATGTTTATTGACCATATCTGTTATTAGGACTGAATAAGAGAAAGTCCATGAAAGGGACTGGCACAATACAGGGGTGGCAAAAAAGAAACAAATCTAAACCGAGTACAACTTGCAACATTTACCAATGAGGAAAGGACCTGGAGAGGGGTTTGCTCCAGGTTCCACAGCCAGTCAGTGGCAGAAGTGAGACTGGTGGCCAGGAAGAGCTAGAGCCAGAGGCCTTCCCTAAGCTCCTGAGAGGGGCCCAGCAGTAGTGGACAATGGCTGCTGTCCTACCCTGCTAAGCTCCACCCCCCTCCATCACCATCTATCCCTCTAGCTAAAAATAACTCCACTCCCCTCATGGTAACTGCCAGCTCCAGTTTTTCCATGGATCCTTCAACCCTGAGGGCACAGGAGGTCTGGTACTCAAAGCTCTAGGGCTTTTGGTCCCGAAGGAGTTGAAGACTTGAAAAAGTTGCAGGAACACCTGTGCTGGACAAGCCAAGAGGAATAGCAAGATCCTCTCTGAGCCTCACTTTCTCCATCTGTAAAGTGGGAATAATTATCCCGAACCTTGCCGAGTCCTAAGGATTAAAGATGTCATATGGGCAAAGTCTGGCACAGTATCCCTCCTCAATGGGGGATTCCTCCCTCCAACCCTATCCAGCCAAGCTACCTCACTTCCGCATGCAGCCTTCTTTCCTCCCACCAACTTGATGTCCTCAACCCTGACCCATCATCATTCTCTTCATAGCCTCTATTCCAACTCTGCCACTAATGTGACCCCGACTTAACCTTTCTGGGCTTCAATTTCATCATCCACAAAATGGGGACAACAGTCTGCTCTGGCCACTACTTCATGAGCTACTACTGATAAGTTATTACAATTGACCCTTGAACAATGCAGGGGGGTTAGAGACAATGACCCTGCTCAGCCAAAAATCTGGGTATTACTTCTGACTCCCCCCAAACTTCAGTCATCCCTTGGTATCCATCAAGGATTGGTTCCAGGACCCATCCATGTAGATACCAAAATCCATGGATGCTCAAGTCCCTCATATAAAATGGCATAGAATAATGCATTCAGTTGGCCCTCTGCATGGGCAGATTCCACCAACTACTGATGGAACATACCATGAATGTGAAACCCAAAAACATAAAGGGCCAACTGTGTATTTATTGAAAACTGCATATATGTGGACCTGCGTTGTACAAGGATCAACTGTATTTCACAGAATCTCTGCAAATCACTTCCCATTAAAGCCTCAGCTTCTTAATCTGTATAGTATAATGGGATAAAATTCACCTCTTCAAGATTATTCTGTAAATACATGCAAATCACCAGATACACAAGTGCTCCATAAATGCTGATGCCTTACTTCAGGTTTAAGGTTGTCTTGAATTTACTTTAAAACTTACTAACCAGCCTGAACCGGTTTTTGCTGAAACTTCATTAGTGTTGTTCCAAGTGTGTTCACAAATATACACTGGTGAAAAAGCATACTCAGAGGCCTACAGGGCCTGGGTTCATATATTTCTCCACCTCGACCCAGCTGTAAGATTGTGAACAAGTTACCTTTATTGCCTATGTCTCGGTATACTTACCATAAAATGAAGAAGAGAATAAAATGAATTAATCTTGAATAAAGGTAGAAGGTGGAGCCTGGCCCCCAGTAAATGCCCAATTAACGTAAACTATCATAATGTACATCGGCTTCAATCCATAGGACAGCAGGAAGGATTTTTCTAACCACTTAAAAATTTTTCCAAATTTTCTCCCAGATTCTCTACAGGACTGTCCCTGTTTTCCAGGCGGGTGACCCCAGAGGTTGAGTAAGAAGCCTAAAGTCCCTCGCGAACGGACCAGTGGCGGCCTTGGGCTCGCTCTCCAAGCCTTTCCTCACCGGCCTTTTGGGGCTCCAGTGCCCTCGCCTTCCCTGTAGGAGGCTCAGAGAAGGACCAGATCTTGTCCAGGACCACCCAGGTGGCCAAGAGGCCAATCCAGACCCCGGAAGTTGCTTCCAGACCTCGTAGTGCAGGTTCTGACACATGCCAGCGGTCCCACTCTGCCGCCAGGTGAGCACTCCCAGACTGCCCCAAAGACTTCTACGCAAAATACGCCGGCGCTTAGCGGATCCGCAGTCCGCGCCGCTGCACAGGGCATCGCGAGAGATGCCGGGATTTGTAGTCCGTGGCAGCCTAAAGGGACCAGCAGAACGTAACCCAAAAACTCCAAACCCCAGGCAGCCTCTCGCAGCCGGGATCGCGCCCAGTCAAACGGTTCCAGGGGTCTGGAGCCCCCCGCCTTATCTCCGCGGCCTCTGCCCCAGAGGCCCCAAGGTGCACAGACCAGAAATGACCTGCTGCATATCCTGGAACTCACCGACTTTGTAGGGCAATTTGTCCGACATGCTGACTGCTACTCCGCAAAGAGTGATAGACACAGGCGAAGGGGGCCGGGCTTCAGACTGGGTATCGGAACAGGGCGGGCTGCGACGGTGAGAGGTCTGCGTCTGGTGCCCGCGCCTTTAAATATCTTCCACTGTTTGCATATTCATGATCCCGCTAGGATTGAGCCCTCCGGGGCGGGGCCCAACGCACAAGGGCGGGACTAAGTGCTGAACTTCGATCTGTGCAGTGAAGATAGCAGGTTTTTATCCCACGTGGGTCAGGAACGGAGCCTGAGAGCGAAGGAGGGGCCGTTCTTTCGTTGGGCAGTGAATTAGATGTCAAAACCGAGTGGAATTGAAATTAGAACCAGTTCACTTCCCTGAGCCTCAATTTCCTCATCTGTGAAATGTGCGGAATGATATCTACCACACAGATTATATGGTAATTAGCAATTTGTCAACTAGCTAGAATTACAGACCTTCCACTCTCTTCCGACCTAACCATTATCCCTAGTTTAGGTAAGTTTGTATGCGTTTTTATACTTTTACTACATGTGTTTAAGTCATTAAATGCTTCGTAGAATTTTTGTGCTTAAAACCTTTAAATAAATGGTATACTGTATAGGCTGAATCCAACAGATGTGCTTTGGCCTGCATCCTGACCCACCTATGTGCCCTTGGCTTCCCACTCTCCAACCCCTCCTCCCATCGTTCATAGGATTCCTTAACAGGCCTTAGCAACTTCCTCCTTCACTGGCGCCTTCAAGTGTTCATGTTCCCTTTTCCTCTTATTCTGCTCTATCTTCCTGGGCCGTCTCACCCACTCTTATGGCTGTTGTAACCACATATATCCAGGTGATTCAGGCGTTCATGCAATAAAACGTTGTCTCACCCCAGGTGCCACCTGTTTCCCTTCTCAATCACATGCTCCTCCCTAACCCTGGAGTTATCGCTACAGTGAATTTTGTCGTAATCATTTCACCATCACTAAACAATACCTTGTTTAGTTTGACTGTTTTTTGCCTTTTTGTAAATGAAATTATACTGTATCTATTCTTCTGCAACTTGTTTTCTCTTTCAACGTTACTTTTGAGAGTCATTTGGGTAGATGTTGAAAGCTGTGGACTCTTTCATTTTTGTATAATCCATTTATTTCTTCGTTCTATTATTGATGGACTTCGGGTTGTTTCAGTTTTTGCTACTACAGAGAATACTGCTCTAACATTTTGTATATATATATATAGTAGTCGAGTTGCTTGAACGGATATGCTCATCTCCAACTTAACTAGGTAATATGAAACTCTCGCTATGGTTGAATCATCCACATGCTCACCAACAGTGATAAAAATTCTTGTTTTATGCCCTTACCAACACTTCCAATTATCAAATTTGTATTTATTTTGGGTCAATCTGGAAGGTGTGAAATGATACCTTATTGTGGTTTTAATTTGCATTGCTTTGACTACTAATGAGGTTGAACATCTATTTATATGTTATAACCCACCTGGGATTCTTTTTTTTTTTAGTGTGTCTGTTACCCAGACATATAGTTCTTACTTTTTAATTTTTCAATTACAGTCTATGTTCAATAACATTATGCATTAGTTTCAGATGCACAGCATAGTGGTTATAAAGTCATGCACTCCATAGCATGGTCCACCTCATACTTTAAGCACCCACCTGGCCCCATACGTAGCCATTACAATATAACCATTAGTGACTATATTCCCTATGCTGTACTTTATATCCCCAGGACTCTTGTTACAGTCGATTTGTACTTCTCAGTCCCTTCACCTTTTTTTTTTTAATTTTTTAAAAATTTATTTAGTTATTTTTCAAGTACAGTTTTTTTTGTCAATTTCTCCCATCCCAGCCCCCCCCCCCCCCAGTCTCCCCACCTCCCTCCCATTCCCCCCGCCCACAGTCCTCATCCCTGTGTCTTTCATATTTGCTCTTCAAAATCCCTCCCCGTTTTTCCCCTTAAATTCCCTTCCCTCTCCCCTCTGGTCGCTGCCCACTTGTTCTCTATTTTAGTGTCTTTGTTTTTATTCTATTTGCTTATTTATTTTGTTATTTAGCTTCCTGTTAAAGGTGAGATCATATGGTATTTGTCCTTCAATGCCTGGCCTATTTCACTCAGCATAATGCTTTCCAGTTCCATCCATGTTGTTGCAAAGGGTAGTAGCTCCTTCTTTCTCTCTGCTGCATAGAATTCCATTGTGTATATGTACCATAATTTTTTGATCCATTCATTTACTGACGGGCACCTAGGTTGCTTCCAACTCTTGGCTATTATAAATTGTGCTGCTATGAACATTGTGGTGCATAGGTTCTTTGAAATTGATGTTTTAGGATTCTTGGGATATAATCCTAGCAGTGGAATTGCTGGGTCAAAAGGCAGGTCGATTTTTATTTTTCTGAGAAAATTCCATACTGTTTTCCATAATGATTGTACCAGTCTGCAATCCCACCAACAGTGAACTAAGGACCCCTTTTCCCCACAACCTCTCCAACATTTGTTGTTTGTTGCTTTGTTTATGATAGCCATCCTGACTGGTGTAAAGTGGTATCTCATTGTGGTTTTAATTTGCATCTCTCTGATAGCTAACGATATTGAGCATCTCTTCATGTGTCTCTGGATATTCTGTATGTCCTCTTTGGAGAAGTGTCTGTTCAAGTCCTTTTCCCATTTTTTAATTGGGTTCGATGTCTTCCTAGAGTGGAGTCGTGTAAGTTCTTTGTATATTTTGGAGATTAAACCTTTGTCTGAGGTATCATTGGCAAATATGTTTTCCCATACAGTTGGTTGTCTTTTTAATTTAATACTGTTTTCTTTGGCCATGCAGAAGCTTTTTATTTTGATGAGATCCCATTTGTTTATTTTTTCCTGTATAATCCTTGCTCTAGGGGACATATCGGTAAAAATGTTGCTGTGTGGAATATCTGAGATTTTCTTGTCGATGTTCTCCCCACCTGGGATTCTTTCTCTGTAAAAGTTCCATTCATGTCTACTCATTTAAAGATAGATGGTTTGCTTTTTCTTTTTCAGATAATAGGAATTCTTTACCTATTCTGTATACTAGTCCCTTGCTAATTATATATATTGCAAATATCTTCTCCAGGTCTGTGGTTTGTCTTCTCACATTCTTAATGTGTTTTTTTTAACCTTCACCTGAGATTTCTTTCATTGCTATTATTTGAGAGAGAGAGAGAGAGAATATGGAAGTATGAGAGAAACATCGATTGGTTACCTCTTGTAGGCTCCCTAACTGGGGATTGAACCAGCGACCTAGATACGTGTCCTGACCAGGAATCAAACCTGCAACCTGTTGGTGTATGGGACGACACACCAACCAAGTCACACCATTAAGAGCCATGTTGTTTTTGATAAATAGAAATTCTTACTTTTTAAAAAATTAGTTTTATATTTTAAATATTTTATTTATTTATTTTTAGATAGAAGGGGAGGGAGGGAGAAGAAGAGGGAGAGAAATTTCACCGTGAGAGAAAAACATCATTCAGTTGCCTCTTGTACTCACCCGGACCAGGAACTATACCTACAACCCAGGCAGGTGCACTGACCAATAATCAAACCAGCAACTTTTCACTTTGCAGGATGATACCCAACCAACTGAGCCACACTGGTCAGAGTGAAATCCTTAGGTTTAATATAGTCAGATTTATCAGTCTTTTCCCTTAGAGTTAATGGAAGTTTTGTCTGGTTTTAGAAAATCTGTATATTCCAAGGTCATAAAGAATTTCTCTTATATTGTCATCCCAAAGTTTTATAATTAAAATATACATGTGGTATAAGGTAGGAATTCTATTTTTTTCCCATATGGAGAAGCACCACTTATTGAATAGCACATCTTTCCCCTGGGGACCTATAGTGCCATCACTGTGATAGATTATTTGTTATAGCTTTATAACAGATCTTGATATCTGGTAGGGGAAGCCCCCTCACCTTGTCTTCTTCAAGAATGTCTTGGCTAGCTTAGATGTTTGCACATCTATATAATTTTGGAGTCACTTTGTAAAGTTCTAAGGTGGAAAAAAGCTTTTTAGAATTTTTACTGAAATTCTGTTAATCTATAAATAATTTTGGGAAGAATTAACATCTTGATGCCATTGAGTATTCCAACCATTAATATGGTATATATGGATAGACAGATTATATATATACATATATATATATACACACACACAAGTTCTCTCCAGAAGGCATCCAGCCATGTAATATGAAAAAGAGACATTTATTGAAGAAGGTACAAGATACAAGAAGCATTGTACATAGGATGATGACACCTCAGTCACCTTCAAAGTAGGCACCTTGGGACCTCACACAGTTCTCCCATCCTGCCCATCAGCTGCCCCATTGTATTTTCCTGAATCTCACCATTAGTCTAAAATCTCTTCCCTTTCAAAGGTGATTTCAGTTTGGGGGAAAGACAGAAGTCAGAGGGTGCCCAATCTGGGCTGCAGAGGGTCTGAATCACCTGGGTGATTTGACATTTCACCAATAAACTCTGCATGAGATGTGATGCATGAGTAGTAGGCATGGTATCGTGATGAAGCTGCCAATCACCAGTTGCCCATAGATGCAGCCTTCTGAATCATCCAAATAGTTTCCACAGAGGAATGTTCAAGCTTAACATGAAATTTGATGCAGATTCGTTGCTCTACCTACTCAGTCATTTTTAATGGGACGGCCACACATAGTATACGTGCTCACTTAATGGCATCTACCACCCCCACTGACTAGTGCAGTGAGGTTGTCATTGTTCAGGCAGGTACATTCCAGTTCACTCTCCTTGACTGCCAGGTTACATCAATGTCACACAAACCCTTCTTGTTATATTAACAACGGCTGGACTTTTTCTGGACAGACCTCATATACAAATGTACATATAGATTTATAGTTATATATTTATCCATTTATTTAGATATTCTTTAATATCTTTCAATAAAGTTCCATATAGATCCTGAATATATTTTGTTATATTTATTCCTAGGTGGTTTTTGTTATTTAAACTTTATCATTTAATTTTTTTATTTTTAGATGTTTGTAGCAAATATATAGAAAATAATTGCTTTTAGTAGATTGGTCTATTTTGCAGCTTAATGAATTCTT